TACTGGAAATTTTTAGATTAGTATTTTTTCATTTAGTTGAGAGTTAAGATATAAAGTTTTAGAATTTTTAGATAATTGTAGCATGAGATATAGATTTTTAAAGACAAGTATGCAAGTAAATTGAATGTTTTGATATAGTTCAACTTTGAAATAATATATCTCAAGATATTATTTTAAAGTGAATTTTTTTAAGGTAACTTTATATATATGTTGAGAATACATATGTTAAAGTTAAGATTAAAATGAGGTGAATTGAGTTATAGCATATGATTTTAGTTTTTCTCATTATATTAATTAATGTGAAAGTTTGAAGAGTATGAAAATGATTAAGTGTCGGTTTAGTTTAAGTATACCAATTTAAATCCTGACTTAGTATGATCTCTAGAGTATTCTTTTATATTCGGATAAGTTATCTGATAGATGTGAGTATCCGAGTATTTTAGTAAGAATAATGAGCATAGTACTTAGTATATTTGTTCATATTTTTTATGTAGTTGCAGATACAGCTATCAGTACAGCACTTACAGTTTTCAAAAGTTTTCAACAAGAAAAGGTGGGGACCCAGACTGGGTATTACATTGAGTATAATAGCTATTATCATGTTCGAGGTATGTATAAAGTTAAGTAAAGTATTAAGCTCGCTCAGTCCAGACTGGGTTCTGTGGGAGGCGACCCCCAGAATGTGATCACGTGAGAACCGGCCCAAGTTACCGGTAGTTGCAAAGTTCAAGTTAAAGTATCGGTTAGATACCGAAAGATTAAGCTTAGATACATACCAAAGATCATGATATTGATATTATTATTGCTGTTTACTTTAGTATGGGTTTTTACGGAGTACAGTTGATTAGTACTCACGCCCCACTATTATCATTTTTTTTCAGGAAATAAAGACGGTGCGCAGGTGTGAGGAGCTGTGGTGGTCGTGGATGTGAATAAGTTTCTATTGAGAATTTTCAATAAGGTTTCAGTTGGTAAACCACGCTTGTAAGATTTCCGCTACGTTTCTTTAAGATTTGAACAAGTGTGATTTTAAGTGTGATTTTAAAGGTTGATTTACCAAGTTGATTGTATGAACTGTTACGTTTTTATATTTGTTCAATGTTTAAAATCTGTATTATTTATGTCTAACTTAGTTGTTAGATGAAGTTTAAGTAAACAGATTTTTAAAGTAGATAAGTTAGTAGCATCCCGAGTTAAGAAGGTTTCGAAAAATTTATAAGTATTTTCGAAACAAGTTGCGAAAAATTTACTCTGATAAGCGGGGTGTTACACATCGAGACTCTCAGAACAGAATTTGTCAAATCCTTGAGGGCATTACATCTCATTCCTCTACAAGATACATCGGACTCCCTCTTGGCATAGGTAAATCGAAGAAAGAAGCCTTTGACTTTGTTATCCAAGCTGCCAGGAAAAGATTGACCAACTGGAAGAACAAATACCTATCTACAGCTGGGAAAGAAGTTCTTGTAAAGGTTGTGATCAACTCTCTACCTGTCTATGCTATGTCATGTTTCAAACTTCCTCTGGGCACATGCAAAGAACTTGCTAAGATCACAGCCTTCTTCTGGTGGAGTAAGGGCAGAGAAAAAGATAAAGGAATTCATTGGAGAAGATGGGAACTCATGACACTACCTAAGATTCATGGAGGGCTTGGGTTCCAGGATTTCAAGATCTTTAATGAGGCCCTCTGTAACGCCCCACTTTTATTTACCGAAAATCAGAATAAATTTTTTGAAATTTATTTTCATAAACACTTGAGGCGCTACTCATTTTCAAAACAATAATCAATGTTCAACATTTTCTCAATATTCGGCAATTATCAATACTCATAATCAATATGAAAATCCCAATAATCAATTAATAATCCAATAATGATCCTAGGGAATAATCCCTATCAATAATCCAATACTCCAATACTAGAAAAACAATAGTCAATAATAATGCAATAATATCCAAGTTCAGTTCAAAGCGGAAGCATTTATTCAAATTAAAGACCACCACTCGCATCCCCTCCGCCGTGCCGCTCTATCTAACCTGCATCCATGAAGAGCAGGTGGGGATGAGCACAAAGGAAACAGTAGTGCTCACCGCTATGCTATAAATGTTAATGTCAATAATCAACAGTAATCAATAATCAAAAGGTATGTCTCAGCATGTATACGAAACAATAATCTATCCCATTCTCCCATCAATAATACAATAATCAGACTCATGTGCACACCTACGCATAGACTACTGCTGACTATATATCGAATGCCCTCCGGTCCTACATCGAGTGCCAGCCAGTAAGAGTAAACCACCCCACCGGCCAAGGTCTTGCCTTGGACTTACCAATGAGGATAAGGGAGACTACCCGAAGGTACGTTCTATAGCTACAGGGACAACCGTCCGGTGGTCGATACAGCTCACACCGAAGGCTACATGATTCACATGCATACTTTGATCATACCACAATTAAAACAGTAATAACATTTAAAGCATAGAAATTTTTCAAAACCCACCTGGAAATTTCGGTAGAAAATGGCACACAAAAGCAAGTACGTAGGATGAGGCTCGACTCCTCAAACACCTACATTTAAGTGAGATATTTTATCAATAATTTATTTCACTACTCGGATTTAACATAAAACCCATACTTAATAAAAATTAAGACTTAAGGGTTTTAATCGGATTTTTCATGAACTTGGAACTCTCTCATTTTTGCAAAATAGGGCACGGAAAATTAATTTGGAGTCTCGAACTTTAAATAATTTTCTCAAATTTTTCTCCTTTGAAAATAATTTTGTAAAAATAAGTTCAGGTCGAAAAACGGGCTCCGGAACACAAAATTTGGCTTAAAAACGAACTGGGCCCAAGCTGCCAAGTATTAGTCAAAACTGCCCTACTTGGGCCGCACACATGCAAACTGGGCCGAAAAAGGACTCTCAAAATGGGCTGAAAAGAGGCCTGGAATCAGCTGGGAAAAACGCGGGCTGGAGCGGGCCATAATCGGGCTCGCGGGCCTACACTGAGAGGGAGATGATCGGGCCGAACGCGGGCCAAGAAGCCCGCGCTGCTGGAGCCTGGGGTTTATTAAAAAAAATAGCTACTTCTGCGGTTCGAACTCATGACCTCGTATGAAGATTTGAGTATCATCACCGATGCGCTGCACGCCCGATTTGCAATTTAAAGTGTAATCTCAGAATACTTAAACCGGAATTAAAACCAGGGACCTGATTGGAAAACAGATACAGAAGTAAAATCGAACAGAGTTGCTAATGACTGAGTTTCCCACGGGGTTCGAACACTCCCAGGAAATTACAATTTGTACAAATTTACGCCAATCCCAGAATTCAAGATGTTCACAAAATCAGGTTTCGGTTGGAATATGAAACGACAATAATAGGCTCGAAATCAACGAACGACAACTCGAAAAATAATGACGAGACTCCGAATCGCTGGTAGACATCACACAACAGCAACAATACTCAATTTTTACAATAACCGAGAGTTCCGAATCACACGAATAATTCACGAACATAATCCGACAATCAAAACGATTAAACAAGCCGACAAATGAATCGAACTCGAAAGCCAACGAAACAATTCAACACGAACAAAATATGAACGAGCGATATCAATCTGTATAACATTATACGAGGAGGTTCGAAGAGATTTACCCGTCTTCGGGAATCTCGAAAAGACGGGTCGGACGAATGGACATCGAACGTTCAAACGGGACTCGGGCTTCGAATTTCGAAAAGCTCGCTGAACAGCTGCTCGCGAACTAAATCTGACCTCGATGACGGACGCGACCTGAACTCTGTGGCGGACGTCGACGAACAGAGCTGCCGAAAGTGGAAGGTTCCGCCGAATTCAATGGCGGGCGTCGTCTGCTACGGTGCCCTGCTGCTCGGAGATGGGTGGCGACCGGATTCCCTGATGGTCGACGGTTAGAACGCACGGGGAGGATGGTGCTCGCCGGGAACTATGGCAGCTTCGTCGGAATCGAAGGTTCGCGATTAATATTTTTTTTTTAACTGGAAGCAGGCTTCGGTTAACAGAGAGATGAAGAACTTGATTTGAAAAATTCTCGGGCAAAGGACTCGTTTGCCGATTCTTAAGTAAAGAGGGAGCAGATCGTGCTAACGTGCGGTGATCTTTACGGAGATCTCGCAACTGAATTTTTTTTTTTTTTTTAAAAAGGGCAGAACGGGTCTTCGCTAGGGATGGCAATGGGGCAGGTCGGGCCGGGTAGTTCAGTACCCGGACCTGCCCCGCGACCACAGGCACGCGCCCCGACCTGGCCCGTGACCCGCCACGAGTCCAGGTATGCCGCCCCGCGACCTGGCCCGTGCCGGGGCGGGCCGTCCCGCCCTGGCCCGCATTTATTTACTTTTTGCCTACAAATTGCCTACAATGGAATAAACATGATGGACCTAGTTTTTGGGCCTTGCATGGGCCAATGCTCTATTTTTTAGTTCATCCATAACCCCAAAAATCATAGAGCAAACAATAACATCATTAAAACACAAAAAAATATAACAAATTAAACAATAGAACATACATAAATGAGTAACTAACATGACCAAAATGAAAGCATTTGAAAAAGGGTCCATCCCAATTTAAAGCATATCCAAAATACAAAGCCAACATTAAATAGGAGTAGCAAAACAATGTCTAACAAGCCAACAAAGTTTTTCCACAACACAGTTGAATAAAAAAGTATGCCTTCCATGAATAACAAAGTGCCGCCCTTCCCAAGATGAAATCCTCTCAATCGACCTTCAAACGGATAATAAAAAAGATAAACATAAATAGAGCCAATAGTATATCAAGCAAAACTAAAAAATATGATTAAAAGAGAATCATATCATACCTAAGTCTCGTTATCCTCATCATTCGAATCATAAAAAACCGTTGCATTTTCACCAAGTGTTTTATTTTCTACATATCAATACAAAGAAAAGTAATATTCATAGTAAATAAAGACTTATCATATAAATTACTTAAACATCAAATTAGAGGGAATTACCTTGCTCGCATTGCATCCAACTTTGTGAACACATCAATGCCTCAATAGTCGTGGGGTGAAGTCTACTACGATGAGGACTAATCAATCGTCCACTTGTACTAAAAGCGGAGTCGGAAGCAACCATAGAGACTGGAATTCCTAAGATATCCCGAGCAATTTGATGCAAAATTGGGTACTTGCCTTTATTAGAGTTCCACCAACTTAAGACGTCAAAATCGGGCGTTCGTGGTAGAACATCCTCATCCAAATACAAATCCAACTCCGATTTTGTAACCTTTCTCTTTCGTTGAGAGGCATACAAGTCATATCCACTAAGTGATGGGTCATTAGAAAAATTAGGATCAAGCAAGCCACTTCTATCACTACATCTCTTCTCTTTAGCCTCGTATTGTTGTACCAACTCACGACACACATCGAGATTCTCATCAACCTCAAACTCACCATTGGTACCATAAATCATTGGAAAATAGTACTCAAGCAATACACATTTATACCTAGGATCAAGCACAGTCACCACTCCCATGATACCATGCACATCGGACCAATAATTATTAAATTTAGCTAACATTTCTATAGCCATTGACTCCACCTCACCGATACCGCAAGAAATCCAATTATTCAAAGCAAGCTTTATCTCACAAATTTTAGGAAAATACAAATTTGCAGTGGGATACTCGGTACCTGAGAACAACTCAGTCGCTTTATAGAATACTTTCAATCTCCGACAAATTTCCTCAGCCATGTGCCAATCAGTTTCACTAGGCAAAGATTATAATTTGGATCCCGAACATTTAAGTGAGAAAAAACTTTTTTATAATCCAAAGCAATTTGTAGCATCAAGTACGTGGAATTCCATCGAGTTTTACAGTCAAGTGTAAGTTTCTTACCAAGTTCCACACGAAGCTGTCGAGCCGACTCCTCGAATTTCTCCGTTCTCTTAGGAGTTGCGGTCCAGTAAGAAACATTGTCTCTCACCTTCTCAATGGTCTTTCCAATGACGCGCAACCCATCTTGCACCACCAAATTCAAGATATGGGCTGCACATCTCATATGCAATAATTTTCCGCCGCACAGTAGAGAGTTCGATGGAAGTTTTTCTAACAACAATCTCATCATAGCATCATTCGTCGAACAATTGTCCAACGTGATTGTGGATAACTTGCGATTGAGGCTCCAATCTAAGAGGCACCCGGTTAAAGCTTCACACAGAACTTCGCTAGTATGCGGGCTAGGCACATAAATGAACCTGCAAAAAAAAAAAAA